AACAACTCTAAAGCGACCCGGAGGAGATGCAAGTATCTGTTGAATAGCGCATTCTGCATGCACTACCGGAAACCTCAAATTTGCCGAGTGTTTTTATGTTTGCCGAGTGCATTCTCTCAGGCACTCGGCAAATAAATTCTTTGCCGAGTGCTATCCTAAAAACACTCGCCAAAAAAAAACACTCGGCAAAGAGGGGAGTTTGCCGAGTGTCAAACAAAAAATACTCGGCAAATAGAGGGTTTACCGAGTGTCACGAAAAAACACTCGGCAAAGGAAGGTTCGCCGAGTGTCTTAAAAAGAACACTTGACCAAGAAAAATATAAAAAAAAACCACCCATAATAAAATCTCGCCCCCCCCCCCAGCCCCCCTCGTCCCGCCCGCCCCCCCCTCCCAGGTCCCCCACACCCGCCCACCTCCTCCCGCACCCTCCCCAGCCCCGGCGAGATCCCTCCTCGCGCCCCTCCCTCACTCCCTCCTCCCGCCACGCCGGATTTGGCCCTCCCTCCCTCCCCTTCTTCTTCCCCACCGCCCCTCCTCCCTCCCTCCTCCTGCCGCCAGACTTTTCCGCCCCCTCCCTCCTCCTTCTTCTTCCCGGCGGTGACCGGCCCCTCCCTCCTCCTTCTTCTTCCCCGCCTAATCCGGCCCCTCCTTCTTCCCGGCTCCCCCTCCCCCTTCTTCTTCCCAGTGGCCCCCCCCTCCCTCTTCCCAAGGCGCCTCCCCACCGGGAGATCTGGGGCGGCAGTGCCGCCTCCTCCCTCCCTCCCTCCCCCAACGGCGAGATCCAGGGAGGGGGCCCGGCGGCGGAGGGGACGGTGGCGCGGGCCAGGGGCGAGCTGCAGCCCCCTGGCCGAGAGAGGCGGCGCGGTGGCGGGGGGCGTGGTGGCGGAGGCGGATGCGGCGTGGTGCGGGCGGCGGCGGCAGGCGTGGATGGTGGTGGCGAGCGTGGATGGCGGCGGCGGCGATGGTGCTGGTGGTGCGGGCGTGGTGTCGGCGTGCCTTTTTTTATTTTTTTTTGAAAAAAAAGTTTGCTGAGCGTTTGCCGAGTAATGGATTGTCGAGTGTTTTTTGGGCTTCGCTGAGTGCCCCTGGCACTCGGCAAAGATCCCGTATCCGGTAGTGATATGAATGCCTGCTACTCTGCTTCCTGCTTGGGCTCGCACGAGCAGTGCCATCAGCTGGAACGTGTTCACGTTATCATTCCCGGCCAACCAGCTCATCCCTCGTGCACAATCTAATATATGCCAACTTAAGAAGAGATAGACGTATCCTGATCAAGACTCTTGATGAATTAAGCAATTAGCTCAGCCTTCCACGGCATTGTGGAAAATATAGAAACAGATTCCAGTTTGAACTGAACTTGTCATTGGGCCTACAAAAGCCAACGGGTCCTGTCACATCAGATATTTCGACATTAATTTAGAATATTAAACATAGGCTAATTACAAAACAAGACTAATTTGCTTGACGAATTTATTAAGCCTAATTAGTCCATGATTTGATAATATTGTGCTACCGCTAATATGTGCTAACGATGAATTAATTATGCTTAATAGATTAGTCTCGTGAATTAGTCGAGGCTTCTGTAATTAGTTTTATAATTAGCTCATATTTAATCCTTCTAATTAGTATAAAAACACCCGTAGTCCCTGGAACCAAACGGCCCTCCACCCGCGCGGCAGCTGAGCCAAGTCGTTCTGCTAAAAAAAAAATGCTGAGGCAAGTCGTTGGCCTGGCCCCACGCCCCACTCACCGGCAGAGCAGAGTGCGCGGTACAGCTGAAGCCACTGAGAGATGGTCCACATGCTGCGTCAGTGACATGTCCAAGAAGATGCATGTCTCTGCGTCAATGACTTGTTGGGGAAGACTCCAACGAGTTAGTGTTGCCGAATAAATTCTCCACTTCCGCAGTGTCCTGTTGTCCATTATTGGAGGTTTGCTTTGGTGGCGCCAATAAGTGGAGGAAGGAATAGAGAGGATGCTTCAGTAGGAACGAGGGACTGCTCTTTGCGTTCTCAGCCGGCTCCTCTCTTTCTGCATCCTTCCAATTCGAATTGGTACGCTATTTGTTTGGGTCAGTTCAGTGGGTTCAGATCTGTTCATCTTTCCTCTCTACTTTCATGACTGATTTAGTGAGCTGCACCGTTTTTGTTGGATCTAGCTGGTTGAAGAAATCCTGTTCGGAGTGGAAGTTCACATTAACACCTTCTGTAGCACTGTGGTCAGTGTGCCGGCTCTGTCGTGTCCAAGGTATGTTCTTGGCTATGAAAGCCTTCTCATTGCCTTCACTTACTAATAAGATGTTCTGGCGCCTCCTTTCTGTTGTCATAGCGCTTTCCTGGTAATGCAGAGAGAGAGAGAGAGAGAGAGAGAGAGCTGAAGCTTGATTCGGGACAGTGTAACCATTTCTGTAGGATAGCAAAACAATTTGCATTGAGATCTATTTATGCGGCACTCTGATCACTGCCTTACCGACTGTGCAGTGTTCAGTTACCTCTTAAAATTCTTATTTAGTGTTAATTCTTCTTGTTAATTAACTACATGCTAACATGTTCTTGTCATAGGTGTTGATCAACCAAGCAGCCATTTAACCTGCTAAGCTGTTCTACTTGTCCCCACCCTTTGCAGGAGCTGCCGTGTGATCTGTTGGTTTTCGTTCAGTTCTGGTGATCGAGGGATGGTCCTCAGTGATCGAGTGAAGCTCCTTCCCTCACTCTCTTGAAGATCTTAAAAGTACTCACGGGTTGTGATCTGAACAAACTGCTCCTGCAAAGATGATTACTACGGGTTCTTATTATCAGACTCTTTTCCTTCTTGGTTAAGATTAAAAGGATTCTCTTTACTTATGCAAAGTTGTGCTGAAGAAAGGCACTGTCCACTGAACGGGGAAATATTGGTGAACCTGTAGATAATAATCTACATAAATATTTTCTGCAAGATTTCATTTCCTGCTTCAGAAATTATGCAAATGAGAGGAGGAACGGAAAGCATGACTGAGTAGCCACTGCTGTTTTGGCTTTCAGTGTTTCACTTTCTGACACCTCCCCTGGTTCTCTGCATCCTTTTCAGTTTGGTAAGCAAAACATAAATCAGTTGAACCATAAAAGGTTTCAGACTTCTTCCTGTCGTTCTCTCAGTTCATTCCTTTTTTTCTCTCAGACAAAAAGTCGCATAGACACATACTGGTTTACATCCGGATCACTCTGCTGTCAGTTCCTCTAGCTCTCAGATGCACATGGAGTGTTAATTGCTGTGAAAAGCTCCAGGGGATCAAGTTAATCAAGAAACGGTTATGATGTCATTCTTCATTTTCTCCTAAAACATGCCATATTTGCACGTGCTGATCACATAGAGATTGCAGAAGTTTGATGCTTGACAGACCACCAGTTTCTTTTGGACAACATCCAGTTGGGATCAGGAAAACATGCATCCTGTTACAACCAGTAGCTAACCATATGCAGGTATATCTTTCCCAGTTCTAATATCTCGGATTGACTAGTGGTGTTTACTCTGGAAAAATATATTAAGTCTATTGATTCAATCAAGCTTTCATTCTCTCTACTTTTTACAGTTGTCGTAGTGTGATCAACGGAGACCGAGAGTCCTCTGTTATCTATACTATATATTGGTTTCTGAAGCTGTGGCCTTAAAATTTCATTGGGCTTACTAAGTGATGATCTTCAAGTGATGATGGATTGATCATCTGAACAAACTGCTTCTGTGATTCTTATGATCAATCACTTTTCCCAATTGTCTACATTTTCTAAAGATGGGTTGATCATCTTCAAGTCATGATTACATTTTTCTAAGGTAAGAGCTGTAGGCGTGCTTCTGATATTATAAGCTTGCATCCATGATGTTATTGTTTTTGCTGATACATGTTTCCTTCTTTTTGTACAACTGTCAGTACTTATACGGACAAACTGCTTCTGTGATTCTTATTGCCAGTCACTTCTAAGATGGCTTTTTCGTCTAAAAGGATATAAAGTGCTTAGGCTTATAAAAGAAAAATAATAAGCCCATGAACTGGTATGGCACCAATCCAAACATAAACTATTACCCATGTTTTAGGTCTGCCAACAAGGTTTTGGTATTGCCAAATTGTGGTTTGACTCATGTTAGACTAAAAAGCTAACAGTTAGTCCACATCCCTTTACAAGCTATCTAATTCTTACTTTCACAAATGCTTCTTACAATCTTTATTTAGCACTCGTTCGCCGCTTCAGGTACCCGCACCGTTTCTATTTGGACTCCTTCGACTAAATTAGTTTCCTTGCATAGCTGATTGAACTTTCCTTTTCTCCCATGAATATCTCTCCTTTCGCTGCATGTCAGCTTCTTAATCCCTCTTTTTCCTTGCATGAATGCCCATAAATATCTTTGAGTAGTTCATCCTATTTATTAGTTTCTTTGCATGACTTCTGAATTTCATTCCCTGCTAGCCAGGCTCATTATGAAAAAGGGTCTAAGCTAATCAAGGTCAGGGCAAAAATAGATGACTTTGAAAAATACTTGAGGTTTTGTTGTGTGATGCTAACAAGCATGCCTATGGATGATTCAGAGTTTTTCTTTGAAAGTTTGGATTATTCAGAATTACCATTTCGGTACCTCACCATGCTTCTATATTTTGCAAACATCATAACTGATACAGTTGATGATTTTTATAGTAGTTGGTTGCAAAAGCTACTTCTTGACACCTGAACGCGTGATAGGTATTATGTAGACATTTAGATTTTATTAACTTAAAATATATATGCTGCAAAAGTGATCACAACAAGCCTTTCAAAGATCAAGTTTATTAACTTCACAAAAATTTAGATGGAAAATAAGTAGTTATATCTTTCTTCTCTGCTACAAGAACAAACTGTGTGTACCTTGTGCAATTTTAACCCACTTAACATTTGTGTTCATTAATTGGCAGCCTACAGCTCTGCAAGTTTGGCCACTCTAGCTACAAAATAAGTCGCTTTGGGTGCATCTCATTGATTCATTCTGTCTAATTATGGCAACCGTACTTGATCCTATTGTTGGATCATGTGCCAAGAAGTTGCAAGATGTAATAACAGAGAAGGCTGTTATGATTCTAGGGGTAAAAGAAGAGCTCAGAGAAATGCAGAGAACAATGAAACAAATACAATGCTTCCTTGATGACGCTGAGCAAAGAAGGACAGTAGAGTCAGCGGTTAACAACTGGCTTGGAGACCTGAAAGATGCAATGTATGAAGCCGATGATATAATAGATTTGGCTAGATTAGAAGGAAGCAAACTGCTAGCAGACCGTCCATCATCATCTAAAAACATTGCTTCATGTACAGGCTTCTCATTTCTATCTTGCATTCCTAATATTCAAAGACGTCATGCAATTTCCGTTCGAATAAAAAATTTCAATGTGGAACTTGAGAAGATTTCAAAGCTGGGTGAAAGATTTTTTATGCTGAAGAATATGCAACCTAAAGAAGAGAATTCAATAGTGAGGCAGGTGAAAACTTGTGAGCTTGTGGAGCCTAACCTCGTGGGAAAGGAAACTTTTGTTGCTTGCACAAGATTGGTGGAACTGATTCTGGCACATAAAGAAAATAAGTCATACAAGATTGGCATTGTTGGAACAGGTGGTGTTGGAAAAACAACTTTGGCCCAAAAAGTATACAACCACCAAAAAATAAAAGGCACTTTTAGCATGCAAGCGTGGATTTGTGTTTCTAAAGAGTACTCTGAAGACACTCTTTTGAAAGAAGTTCTTCGAAATATTGGTCTAGACTATAAGAAAGATGAAACTGTTGGAGAACTTAAAAAAAAGCTTGATACAGCAGTTCAAAATAGAAGTGTATTTATTGTGCTAGATGACATATGGAAACATGATGCATGGACTAATCTACTAAGAACTCCATTAAACACTTCATCTACAACAATAGTTCTTGTGACTACACGTAATGATATTGTGGCACGAGCAATTGGTGTGCAGGATGTTCATCGAGTAGAATTGATGTCTGATGACACCGGATGGGAGTTGCTGTGGAAAAGTATGAACATTAATGAAGAGACTGAAGTGGCAAAGCTAAGGGGTCTGGGGAATGAGATTATCCGTATGTGTGGTGGCCTTCCCCTTGCAATCAAGGTTACTGCTAGTGTTCTAGCAACCAAAGAGAAAACCGAGAACCAGTGGAGACAACTTATAAACAGAAGTGCTTGGTCGATGAGCAAAGTTCCCATTGAGCTGAGGGGGGCATTGTATTTGAGTTATGACGACCTTCCAGGGCATTTGAAGCAATGCTTTCTATTTTGTTCATTATATCCAGAAGGCCATGACATGTCACGTCATGATCTTGTAAGGTTTTGGGTTGCCGAAGGTTTTGTACAGGAGCAAGGAGAGCAACTTCTTGAGGATATAGCTGATGAATATTACAATGAATTGATACACAGGAATCTCCTTCATCCAGATCCTCAATATGCTGACTATGAATGGTGCAAAATGCATGATCTTTTAAGGCAGCTTGGTCAACATTTGTCGCAGGGTGAATATTTTTGTGGACATCCACAATCATTGGAAGATAAAAATTTGTCCAAACTACGGCACATTTCAATTTTTACTGATAGTGATTCTATAACTCTCCCCAATGGGAACAAAGAGGATATTAGAGCCCGAACATTGCTTATTGGTTGGACCCAGTCAGTAAGAGTTGAAAAAACAATATTCAAAAGACTTCCATGCATTCGAGTTTTGGATTTAGAAGGTTCAATTATACAAAAAGTTCCGGATTCTATTGGGTCTTTGATCCACCTTCGGTCACTTGATTTTGATGAGACTGACATATCTTATCTTCCCGAGTCAATTGGTTCTCTCACATACCTTCAAATACTGAACTTGCAGCGGTGTCCAAATTTGCACAGGCTTCCTTTGGCAATCTCCAAATTATGCAATTTAAGACGCCTGGGCCTTGATGGAACACCAATAAACCAGGTTCCAAAAGGGATATGTGAATTGAAGTCTCTCAATGATTTGGGAGGCTTTCCAATAGGTGGTAGCAATGTTAATAGTGACAGAATGCAAGATGGATGGAACCTAGAAGAATTGGATCCCCTTTGGCAGTTGAGAAGGCTTGATATGATCAAACTGGAAAGAGCAGTTCCTCCTAGTAAAGATTCATTGCTAGCAAACAAAAAACATATCAGAAAATTATTCCTACGTTGCAGTGAACACATACACGAGCCATATTCTGAAGATGTTGTAATCAATATTCAGAAAACCTTTGATTTGCTAATCCCTGCGCACAACCTAGAGGATCTCTGTTTTACGAATTTCTTTGGTCGGAGGTTTCCAACCTGGCTAGATACTGCTACCCATTTGCCTTCACTGACATACTTACGGCTCATAGATTGTAAATCATGTGTTCATCTTCCACCAATCGGTCAGCTCCCCACCTTGAAATATCTGAAAATCGATGGAGCCACTGCAGTCACCAAGATTGGACCTGAATTTGTTGGCTCTGGGGTGGGTAATTTCAGATCTCCAGAGGCAGTAGCTTTCCCCAAGCTTGAAACATTGGTCATCTGGGATATGCCCAACTGGGAGGAGTGGTCCTTTGTTGCTGAAGAAGAACAAGAAGAAACAACAGCAGGTACGGAAGGGGGAGAGGGTGAGGCTGCTGCAAATCAAAAGGAGGAAGCGCCGCCTCCAAGGATGCAGCTGCTGCCACGACTGAAGAAGTTGGACCTTGACCGCTGCCCCAAGCTAAGAGCTCTCCCAAGGCAGTTTGGAAAGGAGGCCACCAGCTTGAAGGAGCTCCAATTAAGAGATGTGCACAGCCTTAAGGTGGTGGAGGACATCGGTTTCCTCTCAGAGGTCCTTTTAATCGAAGATTGTGAAGGCCTAGAGAGGGTCTCAAATCTTCCCCAGGTGAGACTGCTTCGTGTAACGCTGTGTCCCAACTTGTGGTGTGTTGAGAGGCTGGACAACTTGCGCCAGCTGTTTCAGACAGAGGATATGGAAGGTGCCTCATCACAGTGGCTGCCTGGACTCCAAGAGCATCACCAACAGCTGCACGGAGAAGACATGGATGTCTACACTTGGATATAGTCAACGTACAGACATGCCAAATGAGATGACTATGAAGATATATGTAAGCTATGACCCTTGTCTGAATTTTCTAATTTGGTTAGATGTTTATCTTCTCTGCTTTTAATTATCCATGCCCGTTTTCAATTATTTATAGGTAATCTGGCATTGAGGGCGGAAGAGACGACTAGAGTCTAGAATTTGTCTCATTGATATCCATCAGGTGCCTTATTACGCTGGGCTGGATAGCACGGACGCGTGTCTCGTGCCAAGCTGATGCAAGGAGCTGATGAATTTGGTGCTCTGCTTATCGAGGACGGAGAAGATGCGTTTTGGTGTCTCCTGATCAAGTGGCGGATGTGTCTGAATAACCAGTGTTTTGTTTGCGTATGTATCTGAATAAGGTCGTGATATATACTGCTGGTGTTTTTTAGTCTTGTTTTTTCTTTAAGTTGTGCCAAACATTACATACGTTGTTTGGAGCCCCAGCGTGTATACTGCTACGTGAATTTTGTTTGAGGAATGCTCTGTGGATATGTTTCATTTAAACAGATGGTAAAACTTTTTCTTTGGCGGAGAGACCAAAGAACCATCTAAAGATTGGATTGTTGAATTAAATCAAGAAACGTCTTTGTTTTGACCCTGGTGAGGCGTTTTCTACGTGCATGACCTCATAATGTTCAAGGATGCTGTTATCTGTGACCTGATCACAGTAGGATCGGAGCCTCCTTGCCTTCATATCCTCCGCTGCAGTCGTCCTGCAGGCCCGCTCGAGGAGGCTCTTGCTGACATTGAATTTCAGAACAGTTATATTACCGTCCGCCGTAGCAGTCGTTTTGAATTCGCGTGCTATTTGTACACACGCGACACGGCGTGGACACGGGGCTGTGTGCCAACACATCTCGCGCAGGCGTCTAACAGGTCAACGCTGACGACAGCGCTGTGCTTCAACCTAATGGAACATATGTTTCTTTGTCTTTTCCATGCGTCCGAAGAGTGTCATGGTAGTAGGAGCCTGCTGTCGACAAAAGATGTTCGACAGTCCATCGAGGGGTATTCCACGATGGTAGATTTGTCGTATAGGTGCGTGTGATCAGAAACCGGATGGTGACACAAGGCGCAGAGACAGCGATTTAGATAGGTTCGGGCCGTCTGATCGACGTAATACCCTATGTCTTTTGTCTTTGGTGTATTGTATTGAATATGGGATATATGGATCGTGTCCACTAGGGGACCTCTGCCTCTCCGTATATAATCTAGAGGGGTAGGGTTACAAGGAAAATAACTTATTTAGTACTATACAATATCTTGCGGTGCACGTCGACCAGTGCCGTGCACGCCTTGATCTCGTGGGCTGGGCCACCTCTAACGGTGTGGCCCATGTCTTGTCTTGTGGGTACCGGGGGTCATACCCCCACAGCCAGTCCCCGAGCCTGACAGTAGGTGACGTAGTCACGTGGTGTCAGAGTCAGAAAGTAGAAAAAAGGCAGAAGACCGGCCGAGCAGGCAACCAGTCCACGGGCGGAGCCCCAAATTGAAAAGCGCACATTCACTGCAAGGTGAAGTGTGTCTACTTAGTCCCCGGGCCTGCTGGAAGATGAAGAATGAATCTTATAGCAGGGTCAAAGAAAAAGAAGTCTGAAAGCTTGCCGACGCCATCTGACATGCGCGTATCAAGACCCCAGACGTGTTGCCCAAGATCAGCACCCTGATCCGAACAGTATGGAGCAGCTTGATAGCACACCGATGAGACGTAGCAAGATCCGAACACTAAGGGAATCCCCGGCATAGCTGGCGATGTCCGAGCACTGAGAGTCTCCGGTGTAGCTGGCGATGTCCGAGCACCGAGAAGTCCCCGGCGTAGCTAGCGATGTCCGAGCACCGAGAAGTCCCCGGCGTAGCTGGCGATGTCCGAGCACCGAGAAGTCCCCGGTGTAGCTGGCGATGTCCGAGCACCGAGGAGTCCCCGGCGTAGCTGGCGATGTCCGAGCGCTGAGTAGTCCGCAGCGTAGCTAGCGACGTCCGGGCACCGAGGAGCTCGGCGTAGCTGGCGATGTCCGAGCACCGAGGAGTCCCGGCGTAGCGGGCGATGTCCGAGCACCGAGGAGTCCCCGGCGTAGCTGGTGAGGTCCGCAAGGTGAAGTGTGCTCACTTAGTCCTCGAGCACGAAGAATCCGAGCGCCAAGGAGTCCTCAGCGTAGCTGGCGATGTTCGAGCACCGAGGAGCCCCCGGCGTAGCTGGTGATGAAGCACGAACGACGAACAGTCTGCTCAACTGGTCGGCGGCGAAGTGAGCATTGAGTAGAAACGACCGGCGAGCAGTCCGATCAACTGGTCGGCGACGAAATCCATGAACCTAGCGGTCTGACTAGTTAATCGGTGGAGAAGTCCGTGCACCAGGTGGTCCGATCACCTGGGCGATGATCCTGCAATACAAATATGTAGAATGGGTAGTACATGATGTAAAAATATATGAACTCCGGAGAAGAATCAGTAATGATGACGAAATAGCATATGCAGCTCGGCGATCAGTTTCTATGAAGATATATTTATATTTAATATAAACCGTCCGACCAGTTAGTGTGTAGCTGAGTCTCCAGCCCTAGCTAGCCCGTTAATCATAACGCGGAGCGCGGAGCCCGTGTGCGGGTAGGAAGAACAAAGCGTCACTAAGGAGTCTGCCGACCACCCATAACGCAGAAGGCAGACGCTCGTGCACGTGTAGGGAGAATCGGAGATAGGGCCGTCTCTGGGGACATCCGAGCGTCAACATGATTGTTCGGGGGTTCAGAAAATCGTTTGGAGAGCAAACATGGAGAAAACAACTCGGAGAAATATTATGGCGATATACGAAGATTGGAGAATATTTAGAAAAATATTAAAATGTGACTTAGCTTTACTCAGAATGTCTGGTCGGCGACGTATGGCGTTATCTGGTCGGCGACGCGGGCAGCTCGCTTAGCGGCTCGGACAGTTCGTTTGACAGCTCGGACGGGTATACGGAGTCGTAGGCGAACCCGCATAGTCGATCCCATGTTGATGCGTTGCCAGCGAGGGAAGCCATCTTGTACATGCGTGATGTAGACATGCACGTGCACGTACAGGCACAATTAGCATGTTGGTTGTCGCCTGGTTGTGTAAGACGTACGGAGTCATGTACGTGCTTGTCCATATCCTTGCGTTCGAGAGAGACTCCTAGTGGCCCAAGATGCAGCAGATGCGGTGCACACGGCTGGCGGTGGCTGGCGAACCACGGTCGACGCGTGCTGCTCGGGGATGCGCCATGGTTGTCGAAGGATGTCGACGTGATCAGCCGTGTTGCCGCGAAGGATGTTGATTTTGAGTTAGGCCATCTGGTTCGCCAGAGATCAGCGCGCACGGGTCCCTACCTGGTGCGCCAACTGTCGATAAAAGATGCTCGGCAGTCCATCGAGGGGTATCCCACGATGTTAGATTTATCGTAGAGGTGCGCCTGATAAGGAACCGGATGGTGACACAAGGCGCAGAGACAGCGATTTAGATAGGTTCAGGCCATCTGATCGACGTAATACCCTACGTCCTGTGTCTTTGGTGTATTGTATTGAGTATGGGATGTACGGATCGTGTCAACTAGGGGAGCCCTGCCTCTCCTTATATACTCTGGAGGGGTAGGGATACAAGTAAAGTGGCATATTTGATACTATACAATATCTTGCGGTGCACGTCGACCAGTGCCGTGCATATCTTGATCTTGTGGGCTGGGTCACCTCTGACGGTGTAGCCCTTGTCTTGTCTTGTGGGTACCAGAGGCCATGCCCCCACACTTGCCTTGCTCTGCTTTTGCTCCTATCGTGGCCCTCCTGTCCTGCTGACAGAGACAGAGTAACACTCTCCTGTTCAGTGAGTGCAAGGCGCTACTCTGTTTTCCACACTACCAACTCTGCTGACGGCAGGCAAACTGCAGAGAGGTGTTGCAAGTGCTACTGTTTGTCATTGTAGTCAGTTCTAGGCGACGCGTGACGATGCCAAGCTCAACACATCACGGAGGATTATATCTTGTGGCCTTGCAGCTGCGTGTGTGCCGATCCGCCGTGAATCAAACTCGATTTCTTTGCAAGGGAATTCACAATGCATCGAGGAGGTTAGTTCATTTCATTTCTGAAGATGTGCAGAGTCAGATTTTTGGCCTACGTGTATGTACATATGCCCATGCAATGTTCCACTGTTCTACGACTGTCAGGCTACTTGAGCACATCGATGACTCCCATCATCACAAATTTTTCTAGGCCAAGTTTTATTTAATGTTAAGGTTGTCTTTTATTCCTGATTGTGATCGGTTTTTATCTGACGAAATTGGGGGATTGGGAACAAATAAGCTTTCTTGCATGCGTTTTTCATCAAATCCTCATGCCATCACCAACACACAATTACACAAGTAAAGAATGGCTTGATCATCAGCTACCAGTAGTTTGAATGATCTCCACCAACCATAGACGAACTGACCTCCATTGTTGCTTGGTCCAGCGCAGAGTTACTGCCTGCGTGTCCAAAAGAAAATCCATCCACCAGACCACCACGGCCTTAGGCCTCAGCACGAGGCAAGTGGAGCCGACCGCAGCCCTACAGTGGAGGAGACCTTGACCGGTGTGGCCACAGAGTCAAGTCTCCGGCCGGCCGCCACCCATCAGTTGCTCTTTTTATGAAAGGTTGGGCCGGCACAGCAAGCTGGCTCTATCCTAAAAATAATGCAATACTCATTTTTCAAGAAAAATTAAACAATTTCAAGTTTAACCAAATATATTCAAAAATACTAATATTTGTCATGCATATTAATTATCACTAAATTAATAATCAAATATACTTTCATAACAAATCTATTTGAAAATACAAATATGCATACTATTTTCAATAAATCTTGTGAAACTTGGTACTGTTTGACTCCTTATGAGGAGATTTATAATTTTTTTTAAGATGGAGCGAGGGAGTATATCTGAGCTGGCAATGTTGCATGGGAAAAATATTGGTGAATGTATATGCTGAGG